TTTGGGTTAATTTTATGTTTTAACTAGGATTTGGTGGTTGCAAACACTAAGTCTAGCTTAGTGGGTCTTGACTCTTCTTGAGAAAGAGTGTCTATGACTCCAAAATTAACCCAACAAGGAATTGGGATGGACCCATGAGAATGGTAGTCCCAATTAACGGGTAAAACCTCGAGAGAGTAATTACCCAACTTGAACCCTAAGTTGCTTGGGCTTGTTAGCCTACCCAATTGGTCTCGAGAGAGTCAATTGGGAAAAATCACTCTTTCTACCGAGAGGTGTGAGACTGAGTGCAAGCGTGCGACGGTTATAGAATAAGCCCCATAATTATCATTCTTGTATTAGGAATCTCTACCCGTTAGTTGACCACCTAGGTAAATGCCACGACCCTAGTGCCTTTCTCTATCTTGCATACAACCTAGAATTAATATCTTAGCATATATAATTAGTAGTTGTTAAATTGTAGTTGATAATTATAAAAACCCAAAAATGATAGAAGATCAATTAGAAGCAAACACGCATTTCTAGGCTAAGCAAATATCCAACCCCCTTTCTAGCTCCCTGTGGAAATTGACCCCGATACCACTATTGGGTAAAAGTATTAGCGCCCACTCTTCCTAAGGTTGAGTCCGCTGCGCAATTCACTTTTTGGCGCCGTTGCCGGGGAGCTTACGGTGTTGACTATTTGTGTAGCTAGTTTTGTGTTTTGCTTCTCTTTCCTTCTTTTTACTAACTTTATTTGTGTTGATCCATCAGGTACACATGGCTCTAAACGGAAATGACCCTCTTGGCAATGCCTTGGCGGGGGAGGAGGTTGAAGATGTTGAGCAAGATGAGCTTCCGGTACCTCAAGTACCACGGAGAGGTAGAAATGCCAACGCTAATGTACATGACAACAATCCTATTCCAGACCCTCCTCCGCCACCACCAAGAGCGGTCCCGAGAGTTCTTCCTAATCAAGGGTACGCGAGTGCCATCGTTCCTCCCCGAATCCGGGCGGGGAACTTTCAAATCACAAGTGTCATGTTGACCTTGCTCGAGCAAAGGGGATATTTTACGGGCGCCTCCGACCAAAATGCATACAAGCACTTGAAGGGGTTCGTAGATACTTGCTGGGGCAGTAAACAAACCAACGTGTCAGAGGATGCGTTGAGATTGAGGCTTTTCCCGTTTTCTCTTCGGGGCAAAGCGTTGGACTGGTTAGAAAGGTTACCAAANCATATTTCATGATATCAGTCCTGAGTTAGACACTGCCTCGAAATGTTTAGTAAATAAATAAAGGTTTAAACACTTAGCTCTATAATTCCTAATAATTGAAACTAAAAATGAACAATTTGACTGTGCCCGAGTGGCTTGCATGCGTATATATATATATATATATATATATCTGGACTGAGTGTGGATCGGGCTGCACGCCGCAGCGAATGCTACGATGATATTGCGCTTGGGCTGTAGGAGCTCCTCCGGAGTTTGAACCCCCACAGTGAGCGCGGGTACCCAAATAGATCGGGCTGCGTGCCGCAACGGTCATGTGCATTGCATTGCATTCATGCATTTATACCTATTTGTCTTACTTGTCCTGGTATTGTTGTTGTTCCACCGTTTTATGTGCTGAATCGCTGATCATAGTTTTGTATTGTAATATTTTGAAATTTCTTACTTTCAGTCATTATATATGTTTATTACTCACTGAGTTGGAAGTACCCACTTTACTCCCTGCACCATGTGTGCAGATTCAGGTGCTCCGGAGACTTAGTGGAGATGTTTGCTGTCTTCTTGGATTTTATCTTCAGGAGTTGTCGAGGTAGCTGCCTGACGTCCGCAGGACCCGACTCCTCCCCTTTATTTCATTTATTTCTTTCATATTCTAGACTTCTTTATCACTATGGATATATATTACTCTATTACATCTAGAGGCTCTAGACTCGTGACTCCAGATCTATTGGGGAATGTTTGGAATATTCGTTATTATTTTTCGTACTATTTTATTTAGATTCGGATTGGAACCTTGACATTTGCTATTTTAATCGTATTATTTGTTAACGGATTACGTATTTCGGTTGAGAGTATTTAATTGGTCGGGCTGTCCTAGCATCAGTGTTGGGCGCCATCACGACCGGGATTGGGGTCGTGACAAGTTGGTATCAGAGCCTAGGTTACTAGGCCTCGCGAGTTATGAGCCGGTTTAGTAGAGTCTCGCGGAACGGTACGGGGACGCCTGTACTTCTCCTCGAGAGGCTGCAGAACCTTTAGGAAAACTCCATATTCTTGAAATTCTTATCGTGCGGCTTTGTGATTCGAGAACTAAATCTCTGTATTCTATTCTCTCGTAGATGGCGAGAACTCGTGCTACCGGACGCGATGGTCGACCACCAGTACCACCCACTAGAGGCCGTGGGCGCGGTCGTGGTCGTGGTCGAGGTAGGGCAGCTGAGACAACACCTACTGACCCACCAGCTGCCACAGTTCAGGACCAGATTCCAGTTGTCGATGTCCCAGCAGCACCTGTGCAGGCACCAACAGTGCCTATTGCTATTCCTGGTCTCCAGGAGACCTTGGAACAGATACTATCAGTTTTCACTGGCCTGGCTCAGGCAGTCTCTTAATCCTTTCATTCTACTTCATTTATGTTTTAACTGCTATTGCTGTTCATATTTTATTTTTCAGTTGTGCTGAACCTGGACATGTTATGCAGTAACTAACTGTCATTTGGCCATTTATGAAGTAGTTGCCTCTAGTTGATAATAAATACACTAACTTTACACAGTACACACAATAGAATGTTTTTATCTATGTTAGGAGTTTAAAAGCAGTTAATTCTCACCACAACGTCCACTTCTTTGCTTTACTTCATGCCTTAATTTTCTTATTACTTCTAATTTAAGTGGATTTTCCTATCAGGTTTCCAAATGAATTCAAATGATGTGTCAGGTCACGTTTTTAGTCTTGATCCAATTAAATCGAAATACATTTTTCAAAGAAACGAACAAGTCCAAATCAATGATCTTTAATGTACAAACGCAAGTCTTCAACATGACTTTTAATGTGAATCTGAGTCTTTTTTTAAAAAAAAAAAACAAAAGGATTTTTACTTACACTTAGCCTTAATTAATATTAGTCCGATCGATTAACCATTTAAAATGGATCTTAAAGGGTGCCTTAAAAATCTTCCCTTTAGATTAGTTGAACACTTACCTAGAATATTTAGGTTAAGTAGACCATTAATAGAGTTGTACTTTAATTAATTTAGGTGTCCTAATTTACCTTAGAAATAATTAGGTGGCGACTCTCTTTAACTTTAATCAAACTCGAAATTACCTATATGTTGTACCTTACTTTAACTAGTTTAAAATGGGGTATAACAGTCTTTATTGTTGAATATTTTAGGATAATGCTATGACACATCTCATAATTTGTATTATTTTCTTGGAAAATACTTATATTGTTGTATCTTACTAGGATTAAAGAATTAATTTGAACACATGTTATATGTTTTGTTCTACGAAGATTTTACCGAAAAAACCCGAAAATCGAGAAAAACCGAGAATATTTTTATTGGTTTGGTTTGGTCTTTAGATTTAATAACCCGACACAATTGGTTTGGTTTGGTAATTGTAAAATCCGAACCAACCCGACCTATGTGCACCCCTAGGCTGCACTTATTGTCCTAGTTCTGCCGCTTTTCATGCTATCTTGTTAACTGTTTGAAAAAGGTGCAAATCATTTACCTCCCCAAGTTTACTTTAAAAATCAAATCCATCATCTAACTTTGAACAATTATCATTCTCCTCCTCATATTAAAGATGACTTCTTTAAATGCCTATTTTATCCTTTACAACTTTTATCTCTTAATTTTTATTTTTTAATATAATGATGTTTTTTATTTCATTTATGCAATTGACTTACCTATAGACAAATTAAAAAGAAAAATTCGAAACCAATAAAAAGTGAGAAGCAGTAGTCAAGCATATAATAAGCTAATGGCTTTCAATAGTGAAATAAATGAGAAAAAAAATTATAATAAATAATTTACTCGTGTCAGTAATTTTTTTAATAGCAATCAAAACTCAATCTATTTACAAAACTAAGAATAAATAAGAGTAATTTTTTTATAAATTATACAATGCAGGTTTAAAAAATAATGGTAAAATAGAGATAAATTTTATAGTAATAGGTTTTCAAAGAATATCTATTTACCCTTTACATGAACTTTAGTTATAATTTAGAAAAAATATACTAATAACAATCAAAACTCAAAAATTTATATACACATGGAGAATAATAAAAATAGTTGAATTTAAAATATCACACGCACACACATACCGACATACATTTTATGCATTTTAATATACATAATATTAAAATAATAATAATAAAGTAGCAATACATTTTGTAATAAATTCCTAATACGATTATTTTATTTATAATATTAGTGAACTTAGATTAAATTGGATAATAAAATATAATATTATTTAAATTATGAATAAACACCAGCATTAAAAATATCCAGATAATATAAAAAAGGTATTACATATTGGGAGTTGAAAATGTCAAAGGGTAAATTGACATTGCGTAGGATGAAAGGATGAAAATGATAATTATTCAAAATTGGAGGATGAGTTTGATTTTTAGAGTAAACTTGGGGGATATAAATGATTTTCACCCGTTTGAAAAAGGCGAAAGCCCCTATAACTAGGGTTTATCCGAAGAATAACCTCTCTCAAATATTACAAATTAAAAAGAACCTACATAAGAATAAATTCATTAAGAAATAACTGAAATACAACTAGATATACATTACGTACATTGCATGTATATTTAAAGAAATAGTGATTGAGATTTGAGAATGGGGATATTACAGCTCATTTTGTAGGAACTCAAATTGCTGTTTACAGTGTCGTCATACTATCGCTAGGTAGCATCTTTAGTCAAGTTTTTCCTCTTATTAATAGGGACAGTTTGAGGAGCTTAGGGTCGTCAGGGCATTTTGGGCAAATTGCAATTCTTTTCAAGGGCATTTTGGAAAAATTGTAAACCTTTTGGCCTAAGTCACGTGCTAACCCTGCTTTAGTTTTGACACGTTCTTTTGCACCGCTCAAACGACCAGACACTGGTTCTTCCTCCAGCTTTGCGTTTCTACGCTGTTCTTCCTCGAAGTTGTGACAGCTGCTCAACTCCTCTTCCAATTTCCTTCGTCTCTCTCAATCTTCTCTTTTCCTGGAAAATTTATTCGTGTTGGTTGTACAGTTATATGGTGAGTTTTGATTTCTTATTTCTTGATTTTTGAAATAGCTGTTGCGTAGAAATTGTTTGAATTGAGTACATTGTTCCAGAAAAAACTGGGACAATTACCTAATTACTGAAGAAAGTGATTATAAACTACAGGTTTCTAAGAGTATGACTGCTTGTTAAAGCACACACATCTAGCCCCCCAAGCACAAATTTTTCCGTTTCCACGTTGCAATTAGGGATTGATAAAGCGAGTGGGTGAGGTAGGCAAGGCAATTACGAGAGTTAAGAATGTAGTTATGTTAAATTCTCAACTAAAGTCGCTTTGTATCGCTAGGATTATATCTGCCAAAATTCCAAAATTGAATTAGTTCCTGGACTCACTCATTTGCCGTCTTCAACTTTACAAAGTGATTTAACTTCTGCTATCCACTTATTAGATTCAGTAATAATCTCTTAAATTTTACTACTCTTACAGGTATTTAATTAAAAGGTTGGAAATAGTTTAGTCTTTTCTACTAATATAATTGGTTAAGGAAAGAGAACATATCTGTATTTAGTATATAATTTCGTAAAATAATGTTACTGTACTATAGGTTCATGATCTTTAAGCTATAAATAAGTTTAGGTGATTGTCAATGTTAATGCATTGCTTGTTCTTTACTTGCATTTTTAAAGTAAAAAAGGAACTACTAACCAGTAATCGATGTTGCAAATTATGTTACTGTGTTTGATGTTATTATATTAGTTCTTTGCTGTATATTTGTTCTCTGCTTCCTCCAGATTTGCACAGCGTCTATGCTGTTCTTCCTCCAAATTTTCACAATTGCTCAACTCCTCTTCCAATTTTCTGTCTCTTTCAGTCTTCTCTTCCTGCACATATTTATTAGCATTGGTTGTACAGTTATAAGGTGAGTTTTGCTTTCTTATTTTCTTGATTTTTGGAATAGATGTCGCGTAAAAATTAGGTAAAACTGTGAAAGCTCTTATAATTTTTGGAATAGTTGTTGCGTAGAACAACTCAAACTGTTGTTTTTATTACTCTTCCATGTTTTTATTACTCTAATGATCCTATTAGTGCGAGGAAAGATGCATTATTATTAGAGCAGTAGGTCGAGTTGACACTGGTAATCAAATGAAAGATGCATTTAATGTGGCTGTTGTAGAACACATCAATTGGGTATTCATATTGAATAATTATCTTTGAATTGTTGAACCACAAATCTTCTTTTAAAGAACAAGGGAAAGAAAAAAGAAATCAAATCATAAGACTTGTTAATTTCGTAAAACTCCTGGGGCAATTACTTTTTCTTTTATTAATGAATTGGGACAGCAACAACAACAAACTCAGTGTAATTCCACAAGTGGGGTCTGCGGAGGGTAGTATGGGGATAGATTGATAATGTAAGTGGTAATAGTTTTAATCTCCTGATTCTCATACCCTGGACTGTCATTTTGACGTCTGCTCCCTTTCCGTTCTCTTGTGGGGAAAAATTAAACTAGAGTTCTGTTTTATCTTTTGGAATTTGGACCCCCGTTAGTACTTTATGCTTGCTTGTACTATCAAATTTTATCTACATCTTTTAAGTTTGTCATATGATGTGCTATCGTTAGCTAATATTTCCTTCTGTACGAGCTAAGTTAGAAAGCTCTTATATGTGAACCAAAGTTTCTAAAGTGATGTGCTATTCGTGAGCAATATACCAGTTTTGCATGAGCAAAGGAAGAATGTGCTTCCTTTGGCAGAAAGATACAAACTCACTATCTAAAAGGTCTTGTACAGATAATAAGTACAGGTGAAAGGTGAAACAAAGAAATAAGAAACATCATCTGCCAGTAAACTATGAGTCTGCTGATAGAAACTTACTTTAGAAAAAGAAAAAATCATCTGACTGAGCATGTTCGATTACTTAGTCATAGATAGTCTTCTCATCGCGATGCAGCTTTCCTGTTAGTATATGCTTTTTCTTAGAAAGGGAGATAAAGGAACTTTTAGTTCTCTTTCTCGGATTTGCCTTGTGCTCGATCTGATATTAATAGCGTGAAGATGGTTCATTATGTTGAAAGTCGAGTTTTCCTATGTGGGTCAAGTGGATTTCCAATTAGTTCCCCATATATAATCACGCCTAAGCAATTTTTACTGAGATACAATATTTTAGTTATTGCGTTTACTGTAGCTGTTATTTTATAGTTTGAGTTTCTCTTTAATTACATTCTATTTGTTTTTTTGGACTCCTTTAATTAAGAAATTTAATTTTTAGGTTGATAGCTATCTGAATATTAATGTTAGAGCATTTGGTGGCATGACAGTGTTAATGGTGTAGGAGATAAGTTTCACTAATTTATTATGACTGAGTACTACAATAACAATTAATCTATCTAACATATTCACTTTTCCTGAATTGTTTATAACAAGAGTACAAAAAGGAGTGGTGTATAGAATCTAGAAACTCTGTCACTAACCTAATGATTGTACAAAAACTTGGATTTAACTGCAATATAGTGTCAAAGATAGCTTGTTCTTTCTTGTAAACAAATGGTGTTTGGCTTAATGTAGATGTTCAAATGCTTACAATTGCATCCGCAGGTGCCAACATGCTTCAGATATTGAACCTTTTTTTTTTTTTTTGGGGGGGGGGGGGGGGGGNGGTTATTTGAATTAAGCTCATTTTTTGTTTACTTTTATAAGACTTTACTTAAGAAGATCTTATTCTATTTAGGTGGACAATCATTTGAGGCTATCACAGGAAGATGGTTGTTTCAATTAAGGTCAATTTTTGTTTACTTTTATAAGACTTTACTTAACAAGATCTTATTCTATTTTGGACAATCATTTGAGGCTATCACAGGAAGATGGCTGCACATTTTAGCTTTCAATATGTCACTTCAAGCTTTGTTGCTGCTCTCTAGCAAGCAGAGTATGTTCATAGGCTTCTCTTCTATCTATACTTAAGATTGGATGTCAATTTTAACTGAACATAGCCCGATATAGTTTGTTCTTTCGTTGCAAATGTTATTTGGCTCAATATAGATGTTCAGGTTGCATCTGCAGGTACGAACATGCTTCATATAATTATTCTTCTGAAGGTATTTTCTTGAGTTCCAAGCCTGAGCTACTACAGTTGAAGATATGTTGCATAAATACAATATGTGATACATTATTGATAGGTAAATATTGCCGATTTTATTATTTGAAAAAAATAAATAAAAATTCTTATCGTATAAAAAGATCAAAATAATTGCTTTATTCTGATACGGGTTTCAGTGGTCTATTATTTTCATTCGCTCTACCATTGATTTGTAGGCGTGGTACAATTTGGGTTTGTTGGTCTGATTTGTGCATCAGTTTAGGATCCTCCATTCACGTTTTCTATTTGGTATATTCACCTCTAAACAAAGATTTTTCGAAAATTACTGCATTTAGAGCCATCAGAAATAGGTCACTAATGCTATGCATAAATAGTTGATTTAGGATGAAGTTGCACGGGAGAGAGGAACTTTTTGTTTTCTCTTGATTTGCCTTCTGCTCTATCTGATCTTAATAGTGTCTGAAGATGGTATGATTATGTTGAAACCTGAGTTTTTCCATGTGGGTCAAGCAGATTGTCAGTTAGTTCCCCTTAATGACACTATTATCAATCTTTTTGTGTATCATTTTCTTTTTGTAACTGCTATTTTATAGTTTGAGTTTCTCTTTAGTGCCTTCTTTCTGTTATCTATGATGTTCTATAATTGGTATTTTTTGGATAATAATTTTTTCTGGTTTGTAAAGATGCTCTTCGGGTAACTTGATGCTGCTTTGATAATCCCTTCTACTATATAGGTGTTGAGAATATGTGCTCATCCAGTAGGTACAACACTTTTATTGTTCATATAGGTTCTTCCAACAATAACCAAAGCTTAAATGTAAAAACAAATCTTAAGACAGTAAAATATTCAACATGTTTAAATGGTGTGAACTTCTTCGTTAAGACAATTGGACTTTGATGTTTATTAACGTCGTGCAGAAACTTAATGCGATCAAAATCATCGGATCACATGGCTTCTATCGATCTGGTTTGGCTGCCCCAGAGGCTGGGTTGGCTTAACGTTCTTTTGAGCAAAACTTTATGATGTGTATATTTTTTAGTACCCTAGACACCGTTCTAGGTAACTATTACGTCTCTTGTGGGTTTGTATATATTTGGAAGGACTAGATTTACTGTTGCTAAAGTAAATATTAGTTCATTCTATATGGGACTAGATGGACTAGATTTACTGTTACTAAAGTGATATTAATTTCTATATCTCATTATTTATTCTTCAGTGTTTTGCGACAGACAAAATAAATTAATGGAAATGTGTAGTAGCTACTTTGTATCTCGAATGACATATGTGGCACATAATTGTGGAACATTTAGTCATCTAGAGCTTTGTCTAAAGCAATTTTCAAAAAATTGAGTATATCTATTTTGATCATACAAATAGTAGCATTGCGATTACAACAATCAAAGGCTCTAAAACACGAAGTGACTTCTGATTATCAAAATACCATTTGCTCAACTCTCTCACATTCCACCTCGATATTCTATAGATACGTTAATTCTAAACTATTCCAAGCAATTTTTTTAATTAACTGCTCCAAATAACTTTAAAGGCGAAAAAAAAAGGGATTTTTTTCTTCCTATACCATATATGAAAGTTTATTACCAAAAATGTGCATATTTTGTATATTACTTGTCCAGTCCACATTTTACGTACAAATTTGTACCATTCGACTATTATGCATTAAAGGCGCAGAATATTTCCTAAAAAAACGCGCTAAAATTAAGGAGAGAATCTTGGTGATAATTGATTCTACATTAAATTCAATTTTTAAAAAGGGAAAGGAGATTTCTCATATGCGTTTTTTTCTCCAGAACTACAATTCAAATTCTGAAAAAAAAAGAACGAACAGCTCCTAAAAATAAGAACAAATTCAACTACTAAGAGTTTCGACGAGCTGAATTCAAATTGTAGAATTCAAAATTTTCGAGTTTCAACAACTCAAAGTTGAAAAAATCTGTTTTTCGTCGTTGCTTCTATCAAATTATCGATCAGATATATCTCTTCTTCATCTTTTCTTCTTTCAATCTAGAAATCCAAAAAAAACATCAACATCAACAACAAATCATGTCCAAAATCGCAATCAAGCTACAATTTAATGGGGATTGGGATAATTAGGGCAGATTTAGAGATTTTGAAGTTGATGCCATTGTGGTAGATGAGAATGCAAGCTACAGTATCCTGATTTCTACAATTGCAGAACAAGTATCAATTGATACTACAGAAAAAATTGTAAAAATCAAATACATCGTGAAATCAAATAGTAAATTGTATATAATTTGTAGACAAATTGTAGTTAATTTGTAGATTGTAGATAATTTGTAGATATAATTGTAGATACGTTGTAGATAAACTATTTTATGATTGTAAATATTTTTATTGCTGTTTGTTATGTAATTCTAGGTGAGGGCTTCAACAGATCATATCCATACTGTGATAGATGGTGTGAAGCGGTACATGAATCCTACATTATAACTACTATTAACTACAAAAACTCTACAATTATGTATAAAACCAGTTCTACAATTCAAACAAATTTACATGCAGTTTACCTACAGTGAATGTACAAATTACCTACCGTTTAAGTACCTAATATAAGAATAACTACAATTTACCTACAGTTTACCTACAGTTACAGGGCAAACAGGAAACACATCATTCACAATCATGTCTACATCATATCTACATTTTAGACTACAATTAATCTTGGAATGTTCTACATAAACTACAAACTAACTACAATTACGCTACAAACAGTAAATCTAGGTGAGGGCTTCAACAGATCATATCCATTACACTAAATCTACAATTACACTACAATTACACTATAATTACACTGCAATTACACTACAAATACACGACAAACAGTAAATCTAGGCGAGGGCTTCAACAATTATTTTTTTTAAGTCGTTTGGAGAAGTTGTCGGCAGCTTTTCATATTAGTCTCTTTACCAATAAATTTCTCATTTTTGACTTTTTCAGAAGAGGGAATTTTGTTTGGTACCCAAAAAAAAAAAACTACTAAAGTGTATCTGTTTTCATTGTTTTGCTAGTTCGTGGCATATTAAAATGTTTGTTGCAACTTTTGATTTCATGTAGACTTTCAGAAAATTCATGCCACAATTGTTGCAGAGAAAATTGGCACGACATTCAAATATAATGAGATCTCGCTGGCTAATGCATCTCAAGGGCATCTTTCGTTGATTGATCTTGCAATCGTGGACGAAGAACAAGAAAGAATGTGGGGTATGGGTAAAAACGTGGGTGAGGGGGTGAGGAGTAAGGAGAGAGAAACGTGAGATATATGGATACCTTTAATTAAGGAGTAAACACTGCCCATTAATTAGATATGGATACCTTTAATTAAGGAGTAAAAATAACCCATTAATTAGACCCTTAATTAAGTATGGTATAAGATTGATAATTTGGTATACTAAGTGTAATTTACTCAAACATTAAACATGTAGGGTAAAAAGGTTTCCTGTGATATAAGAATGTAAAAATTCCAAAAAAAAAAAAACTTTCGAGCGTTGGCTATGGCAATTGGGCCCGGGCTTAGCCCGGGTTACTCCTAACTAGTTACTAGAATAAATGTCACGCGTAAGTTTATAAAGATATTATGCATATTTACAGGGGCCAATCCAATATATCTTTTCGACAAATATATACTCGCTGAGTTATTTTTATTTTTTTTCAAAAATTTATACTATCGCACCCCAAGGGGTGTAATGTAGGTTTCCTACCCTAATGCAAGTTTTAGTGGCTAATTGTATGACTCGAAACCATGATCTATCGGTCACACTGAGACAACTTAACTGTTGCTCCAAGGCTTCCCTTCCATTAAATAAAATATTGGATGCAATGAAGTACTAACACCTTGAATAGTTCACTTTTCTATTACAATCTTATATATGGACATGGACACTAATTAAGTTTAATATGTGAACTAAACACACCTTTTAAAATTGAAATCTATATAAATACAGTACTTTCCATTACAACTCATTCTCTTGATTAAGGGCCTAGTATTATGCCAAGGATGTTAGAGCTTATTTTCATGATTTTAGTTTGTTTAACCTAAAATCTGAATTTAAGGGTGTATTTGGTATGATGGAAAATGTTTTCTTGGAAAATATTTTTTCTGAAAAACGAGTGGTTTTATCATATATTTTTCCTTATTTGGTTGGTGAACGGAAAACTTTTCCGAAAAATATTTTCTAGTGTTTGGTTAGAGAGTAGAAAATATTTTTTAGGAAAATAATTTTTATGCTACTCTCTTCATCGGGTGGGGGTGGGTTGGTAGGGATGGGGAACAGAGCGTGGAAGGTTGAAAAAGAGTTCTGTAAAATATTTTTCCCTTCTCTTGATAGGAAAAACATTTTCTTTAAATTGGAGGAAAATAAGTTCATGAAAAAATTATTTTTCAAAATATTTAAGTTAACCATATATGAAAAAATTGAAAAATATTTTTCTTCGTACCAAATACACCCGAAGTCAAATCAATTAAATTTGTAATAGAGACATCAAACAATTGAATCAAATCTGAGTGTTTTACCATCCCAAAAGAGATTAAAACGACTCAAGAATAACATAAATTAAATAAAATTGATAATGAAAGCAAGATAGAAAAGAAATTCTAATTGATTTAGAGGATGAATGTGATGACCCAAAAGGTCATCACTTGTTTTTAAAATAAATTCTGCGTTCTGAGGCCTTAAAAACCTCTTTTAGCATCACCTCGATTTGCGTGCGCAGTCCAGACGCGTATCCGGAAAGCCTATATGTAAAATTCTGTGAAAAATGATAATTTTTGACTATAAAATGAATTAATTTGACTTCGGTCAATGTTTGGGTAAACGGACCCGGACCCGTGATTTGACGGTCCCGGAGGGTCCGTAGGAAAATATGGGACTTGGGCGTATGCCCGGAATCGAATTCCGAGGTCCCAAGCCCGAGAAATAAATTTTTGAAGAAAATTGTTTTCTGAAATTATTTAAAGGATTTGGAAATGAAATTTGATTAGAACATGTTGGTATCGGGCCTGTATTTTGGTTCCGGCGCCCGGTACAGGTCTTATATATGATTTAAGATAATTCTGTAAAGTTTGATAAGAAACGGAATCCATTTGACGTGATTCGGACCTTAAATGCAAATTTGATGTTTAAAGAAGTTTTGAGAAATTTCATTGATCTTGAGGTTTATTTCGATGTTCATGATGTTATTTTGGTGATTTGAGTACACGAATAAGTCCGTAGGATGTTTTTGAGGTTGTGTGTATATTTGGTTTGGAGCCCCGAGGGCTCGGGTGAGTTTTGGATAGGCCACGGGGTAAAATTTTGGACTTAAGGAATTGCAGGTCTGCAGGCTTCGCATTTCCCAACCTCCCTTCGCAATTCCCAAACCCATGTTCGCAATTCCCAAGCTTCGCAATTTCCAAACACATGTTCGCAATTCCCAGGCTTCGCAATTCCCAAACCCATGTTCGCAATTCCCAAGCTTCGCAATTCCCAAACCCATGTTCGCAATTCCCAAACTTCGCAATTCCTTAACCCTGTTCGCAATTCCCACATCTGAGACCTGCAACTTTTATACTTAGCCGAATTTTTAACCCATTTTCATATTCTCTCAAAACATAAACACACTTAGGCGATTTTTCAAGGATTTCTTCTTCTCCAAATCAATTGTAAGGCGATTTTAACTATCTTCCTTCTATTCTTAACATCTTTTAACATGATTTCAACTTCAAATCAATGATTTTCATGAGGGAAATTGGGTGTTTTGGGTAGAACCTAGGTTTTTCAAAAATTGGGGATTTGGACCTCGATTTGAGGTTCGATTTCAAAATAAATTATATATTTGAGTTCGTTGGGGAATGGGTGATCGAGTTTTGGTTCGAACCTCGGGTTTTGACCATGTGGGCCCGGGGGAATTTTTGACTTTTTGGGTAAAACTTTGGAAAATTCATTTTCATGCATTCAAATTGATTCATTTAGCGTTTATTGATGCAATTAAGTAACTAGTGACTAGATACGAGCGAATTGGTAGTGGAATCAAGGGGTAAAGCTATAATTGAATCGTGAATTGTGTTCGTGACATCGAGGTAAGTGTTTGGTCTAACCTTAGCTTGAGGGATTAGGAGTTGTGTCTATTTGCTACGTGTTAATTGTGGAGTACGACGTATAGGCATGGTGACGAGTATCTATACGTTGGTATCAAGCATG